CTCTTCTTTCTATTTTCATAATGTCATTTCGCGTGAAGTGGCATCGAATATTCATTACATATTTCATAACATTAGCTTTGCGTAAGCTGTCAAATTTCTTACTCTAATTATGCTTATGGGTAAAACCCCCTATGGCCCTAAAAGATATTGGACAGTTAAGCATCAGGACTTCAAAACTTATCTGTCGAACGGAGATAATATTCAGTAGTTTATGAATATTGAATTAGATAATCAGATAATTGAAATATATAAAAAGAAAATTGATCAGTGGAAGAAATGGGACAGTGTTATGACCTGCATCCCCCAGTTGCACTGGTAATTTAAAATCATGTGATTGCACAACTCCTGCTTCATCATGGGATTATTTCTAACTCTTTCTGTTGTTGCGCAACGGTTGCTTTATCCTATGGTTTTCCTAACGTTTTCTGTCCTTGCGCAACTCCTGCGCAATTCTGGTAAGTCTCTTGCTGAACTTTTGTACTATATATAGCCGTTTACTTTCTTCAGATAAACAGACAGTGGGAGTTGAATCTCGCAAGTGGTGCACTAGTCGGTACGTACGGCGACGAAATTGTAGAACTCAAATCAAGGCTCACCATCACTTTATTCTGCAAACGTAAGTCAACGCGACGTACGATCCGAACGTCAGGAAGACGGCACATCGAACAACAAGAACGTGAAGACAAGCAGTCGAATACAACACTGATATCAATCATGACTGACTGCAAAGACGAGAAGTCGATCAAAGAAGAAGAACAATCATTGATGGATAGTTTTCAGCGTTTACTACAGCAGCACGAAGAATGTCTACGCGACAAAGAGCGGAGGAAGACTCAATTAGATGAACAACACGCACTTCTGCGCTCCATGGGTCAGTCAATGCGGAGCATAAGGATAACAACTAGCGAGACAGCAGAAAAATCAAGTATCAATGATGGTTCGGCTTTGTCTGAACACACCACAAAGGTCCTTCTATCAAAACGCATCAGCCACTTGCTGGAATCAGATGCATTCGGTGCGACGCCTTCTCAAGATGTGTCCGACTGGCTTGATAGTTTCGAGGCAAATGTGACAAAGTTCAGTTGAATGATGAACAGAAATTCTCGATTGTTCAAGATCTCCTGAAGGGCAGCGCAAAAATGTGGTTCGACACCCACAAAGCTGTAATCAATAATTGACAATTGTTCAAGAAAATGGTAAAAGCACATTTCGAACTAATAGCGGGTGTTGATCGATTCGAACGATACAAACAACTGTACAATCGGCGACGTCACGATGACGAATCATCTGTTGATTATTTCCACAATGTGATCAAGCTCTGTCTAAAAGCTAACGAAACAATGGACGAAGCTACCCAAATCAAGCATCTGCTTAACGGCCTAAGCTTACGCGCCAAATCGTATATTGAGGTGAGAAAACCATGCACTACCGAACAGTTTCTGCAGGTATTCATCGAATGCGATAAAGTACTGACTCAAGAGGACGCACGACAACCGCCAACAGTGGTACAGAATGTCCGATATCTCACACAAGGCAAGACGCGAGTATCCATGCCTGTGCGACCGATGAACAATAACGTAGATCGACCCAATCCCTACTATGAACGTTACAATAATCCGTATTATGCATCACGCGCAACGGATCAATTCACTGACATTGGCTGTTGGTCTTGCGTTAGCCATGATCACTACAGAAAAAACTGTCCAAAAAACTACTAGCGCGCGTGTGTGATGGTAACAACGCCCGTTCGAACCAATACCAGCCATCATCGCTTATCATGGTCAGCACTATTGTCAATGATCGTCAAACACAAACCATGGTATATACGGGTGCCACTCATTGTCTAATTACATCAGCCTTACTACACATTATTCGCCACCAGCGCATAATAGAAACATCAACAGCAATTCGTCTTGGAGATGGACAAACTAGGGTTGCTGTATTAGGAAAAGTTCGATTGTGTGTTCAAATAAAACAATTGAAAACGTATGTCGATGCTTTGATTGTCGATTCATTAGGAGTCGATATGATTCTGGGCATGGACTGGTGCCGAGCATATAAGGTAGAAATCTCGATGCGACGACAAGAATTGAAACTCTGTCATCATCGACTGGGAAAAAGAGTGACACCTTTTCTGACCGAGGTACCGATCGATGTCCGACTTACACATAACATACACTTGCTCCCGTATCAAGAACGAATGATACCTGTTCACGAAGCCCTCTCTAATGCAAACAAAATGTGTTTCGAGCCAAACGATGATATCCGCTCAAAATTAAATGTGGTGGTATACGAATCTGTGCTCAGTGTTAAGAAATATAGCTCTCATATGACCGTGCTCAGTTTATCAGGAGATCCACGTACAATATCAGCCGGTAGAAATATTGGCTTTGTGACATTTTACCGACTCGATCGTCGACCTTCACTTTGGAGGAAAAGCTAAGAGAAGACTTCCATCTAGAACGAAAACAGACCGACAAACTCAATTGGGTATCTGAACATACGGCCCAATGCTCATCAATGCAACTCGGAAACGAACAACAGCCTGTCGAAAGCACTATTCGTAAACTGGTCGGACACATCACTGATCAACAACAACAGCAAAACTTCTACAACATTCTGATGAACAATCGACAGACGTTTGATACATCGAAGACAACGCAGGCAAAAACAGTTATTCATCACGCCATAATTACGGAAAATCACCCGCCTATCAGTGACCGTCCATATTACAAGACACCACAACAGCGAAAAGACACACACCAAGTTGTCAATAAGTTGGCGTCATTCACCCGTCTCACTCTCCATGGGCTTCACCCGTCATCCTGAAGAAGAAACCTGACAGATCATACAGATTTTTAGTAGATTTTCGACGACTCAATTCGGCGACAACAAAAGATGCATACCACCAGCCGTCGGTTGTAGAATTACTCCATCGACTTGCGTGGACCATCACTACTTTACCAAGCTCGATCTACGTAGTGGGTATTTCCAGATACCCATAGCTGAAGCGGATAAGCCGAAGACGGCATTTTCTACTCAAGGCGGCCACTGGGAATTCAATGTATTGGCCCAAGGGCTTATGAATGCCCCTCCTACATTCCAAAGAGTGATGAACGAGCTGTTAGCCAATGGCCGATGGGATTATGTCGTCGGGTATCTAGACGACATTGTTGTCTTCTCAAAAACTATCGAAGATCACAAACAGCATCTGGCTGAAGTGCTCTCTGTGTTGAACAAGGCCAACTTTCAAGTATCGCCATCAAAGTGTGCCATCGCTGTTCAACGGCTCGAATTCTTGAGTCACATAGTCACTGGTGAAAAAGTAGAACCAAGTCCAGACAAGATCAAGGCGATCGTAGACATGGCACCCCCAAAGACACTATCACCGGCAAACCGATTTGTGAGAAAAATCGGCTACTATCGCAAATTTATTCCTCTTAAAAAATTTATTCGACTTTGCTAAAATCGCAGCACCTTTGCACAAAGCGACAAACAAGACACTTACACGACGTAATGAATTCTACCGGGATAAAGAGCAACAAGCAGCCTTCGAACAATTTAAGACCATTTTGACTATAGCACCACTATTCATGGATTTTCCAGATCGATCGGTGCTGTGCATTCTGTCAACAGACGCAAGCGAAATACGCGCAGCCGGTGTGCTCAAACAAAAACCGGTTAACGGAATGAAAGTGTGTTATTACAAGTCTCGACTGCTCTCTGACACTGAAAGTCGATATTCACCCACAGAGCGAGAAGCGTTGGCCATCTACTGGTGCCTGAAGGAGTTACGCAACTACATTGCTGACTCGTCTATTACCATTGAGACCGATCACGAACCGCTCGTCAACATGCACAAGAAATCAAATTATGGCAACAAACGCATCGACAATTGGCTCGTACAAATGCAAGATCTCAGGTAGCGAAAATACAGGATCCGACTATCTTTCTCGATACGAGACAATCAGTGATGAATCTGCTTTCGCAGTCACACCTTCACATGATTGCCAATCAAAAGCCGAAACAAAACAGTCGACACCTGTACTCGCCGCTATCACAAGATCGATGTTAAGACAACCGCATCCGATCGTTCCACTATCATTGCCATCGAACTTGCCCGACCCTGATCAACAGCCTACTACGACTCGTACATCTCTGCCTATATCACCGGCACATCCATCTGTTATCAATCTGAGCCTGGACGCGGTAACGGCGGCGCAAGAACGTGACCCGAAGATTCGTAATATTATCGACCGGATCCGAGACGGCAAGAATGAAAGCAATTTTGTACTACACGACAATATTCTCTACTGTCTTGTTTCGAAGAATAGCCGTGCAACAAGGAGTCACGTACCATATATTCCACCTTCAATGGTGCCTGCCGTGCTCGAAACATTTCACGATCATCCCCTCAGTAGTCACTTCGGAGTTCGGCGTACACTGTATAAAATTAAACCTCGCGCTTGGTGGCCAAATATGCAAAGAGGCATCGAAAATCACATTGCTTCGTGCCACCAGTGTGCTCATCATAGAACTTGTCGGAAAAAAATACCTGGCCATTTGAAATCAATCGAGCCGCCAAATGATGTGTTCCAAGTGATCCATCTCGACTTCTGGGACCCCGTTCGGTCATCAAAGCAAGGCAATCAATATGTGCTTGTGCTGACCGACAACTTGTCCAAATACGTGATTGCACAGGCATTACCAAATAACACAGTCAAGGCTACTGCTGAAGTTATCATCAACAACTTCATTTTGGTTCATGGCGTCCCCGAACGAATCATCACTGATAATGGCGTTCATTTCAATAATGCCCTTGTTAAAGTGATCACATCAGCGATGAATATCAATCACGCATTCTCGGCATCATACCATCCACAGACAAATGGCCAAGTAGAGCGCTTTAACGCCACATTTTCTACGCAGTTGGCGAAATACTGTAACGAGGACCACGATGATTGGGACGACAATTTGCAGTCAGTTCTCTATGCCTACAACACCGGCATTCATGCGACAACAGGGTTCACTCCATACGAACTGGCATTTGGCCGTAAACAAAACAGGCCATTCGATCCAATAGCACCAACTATCACAATTCCGGCTACAGGCGATTTTTATAATCGACTTATACGAACACGCAAGATCTTGATCAACCATAGTCCAGAGAACATTCAACGTCAACAGCAGCGAGCCAAGCATCGATACGATCAGCATCGCAAGACCACATCTTATTCGATTGGTGATTATGTGTTTGTTAAAGTATGCACCGGTCGAATAAAGTTGGACGAACGTTGGATCGACCCGTGTTGTATCGTTGATAAATCGGGTGAATAAACATATTTTGTTTAGGATAGCATGACAGGAAAAACGGATTGGACACGCATTTCTCAATTACGTCCGGTTATTGAATGATGGGATCATGTCATCTAATATAATTATCAAAAACTTCTACTGCAACACCGACAATCACAATACTTACAAGTTGTGTAACGTACATTACCATTACCAACGATGACATCGACACACAACGAATCACTTTGGGCGGCGTGGCAACGTCTTCGATTTGTTGACATGATAGGATAGACATATGCGTACAGTATACTCACAGTTACGGTTTGCCAAATAGAAACTTATGGTGTAGTAACACAAGTACTGGGATGATACAGCTGGCTTAGACAACAACTAACTGTCGCTCAGTATTATGAACCTCTTTTCCTGCCTCCTGTATTAACGTTTCCCCTTTTCTGGTGATCGTTGTTTATGTAATCTCTGTATTTTTTTTTCTTTTTTTCACCCCTTCATCCGTTTAACGTGGTTTTCCCTTCTTTCATCTACTGATGCCCGGGACGTGCATCTTTATTGTTGGGGCAGGTCTTATGACGTGCATCTTATTGTTCAGGCAGGTCTTATGACCTGCATCACCCCCGATGCACTCATAATATAAAATCATTGCACAACTCCTGTTTCATCATGGGATTATTCCTAACTCTATCGGTTATTGCGCAACTGTTTCTTCATCTTATGGCTTTCCTAACTTTTTCTGTCCCAGCGCAACTCCCGCGCAACTATTGTAAAACTCTTGCACAACATTTGTACTATAAATAGCCGTTCACCTTCTTCAAATCAACACACAGTGCGAGTTAGATCTCACGGACAATTAAGCATCAAGACTTCAAAACTTATCTGTCGAACGGAGACAATATTCACAGCTAATGCTTACCAAATGATGGCGTACTTGTTACTGTCTCTGAAGCTAGAAACAATCGAAGATGCACCTAAGCAAG